CAAGGTCGTGCTCACGACCGACCGCTCATCATTCTGCCAATAAATAAGTAAATATGTCGAATAATGACAGTCTTTTCATTCGAACTTCTGGGCACTTCAGTCTGCTGCGTTCACTTCTAGATGATGATCTTCTGATTTCTCAATTTTTTTTTACGAAAAAGATAACGACGAGTGACATGTCGCCATTGTCCTTTATCGCAAAAAAATGGCAATTTGACGGTTAATTTTCTTAAACTATTTGTTATCCTCTGTAATCTTACCTCTCAGTACGAGTATGGATGAGTGCATTGTCGGAAATTCTACTTTTTTGTGACGAAATCAGTGTCAAGACATTGAAGCAGGGGTACCCCGTAGTACACGTGGCAGTGCGTTACATTCCAGGAGGGATACTTCTACCTGTGTCCAAATCTTAACCCCAGCCTTAAGCACAAACCTAACCCAATAGACAATACAGGGGGATATGATCATGGCCTTCAAGATCGTCCGAGAGCTAGACTGTGCTCTTCAGTTAGACGATTTCTTCGAACTGGCACGGACGACAAATCTTCGAGGGTACCAATACAAATTGAAGTTAAAATATGCCAAGCTCGAATTGCGGGCTTTATTCTTCTCCCACCGGCTGGTTGAAGGATAGCACAAATTGCCGAACACCGTTTTCTTAGAGAAAAACGTTGAGTCCTTCAAAAGAAGACTAGATAGATTTATGCTTGATAGTCAAACATTTACACGATATCAGTGACTGGCATAACTGCTTTGTAACTGCCTCCATGTTTTTTCATACGTCTATCTGTAAATAGGGTTTTCCAAGGCTCTACCTAAATCCCTCATATATATTGAATTATACTGGATTATAAACCGTGACCTTGACCCTAACCACAACAGCATGGCCACCAGTGTTACGGCGGCCCCTTTTCCTGCGTCTTACCAACTTGGTTTTCCAAAGTGAAGGTAGTGCGATAGAAACCTATCTTTTCAACAAAGAAGTCTCCCAAGAAATTCCCTAAAGTGCCCTCAGTTGATACACAGAAATTCAATAACTGCTAGATCTAAGCAAATGTCTCAGATCAATTCTATCATTAGAAATCTCGGTAAGGGTGGGGTATGCAACTCCCTTGGATGGTTGGCAAAAAGCCTACCTTCTTATCTCACTCCGTTAGGTATGCCTTGTAGTGGCTGGTCTGACAGTAGGTCACGAAAGCAGTTATGCAGGAAGCAAATTTTAACCCCAAATAGCATTAAGGGCATTGATTTGCCCCTTTAGGGTTTGGGCAGCAGTTAGTTTTGGTGTTAATTCAGTTGCACTTAAGACTAGGGTTGGCAGACTTAGGCTGTGGTTTGGATTTTGGGATGATGATGGGGTTAGAGTTTTAGGGATTGGCCCAAGTTTGCGGTTACATCCGAGTTTTCCGTCAATGCTTAAGAGCCAGAGATTTCTCATTGAATGCATAGCCATGGTTGCCGTTAGGTTTGTGGCTAGCTACGATCTCCGCAAGGGGGTTACGTACCACACTCTTGCACAAATCTGTAGTGCCCGCGGATTTCTTTCAGTTGTCTAGGTAATACCATCTGCACGTTTACGCTTGCTGTTACTCTGGTGGCGAAAACTTTGTCAGAGAATTTGTACAGTTTTGGACCTATGATCAACCCCGCGCATGACAGGATGACATCTTCAGAGTGCTGCAGGTTAGGAAATCGGACCCGCACTGTCAATCATTGTTTTACTGAAAAAATGCAGTGTCCTAAAGTTTCACCTATCCGGCAAGGTCTTATCTAGAAATCCAAGGAAGAATGAATTCACTCATAATCTATCCGTTCATCAGAATGGATTAGCGACGGACACGTGAGTGACGTTCACGTACCTGTCCTGCGTGCATATGGGAAATCATGTGACTGACTGTGGTCGGAAGCTGAGTTTGATATGTTCGTTCCAGGCCCCCTACGATATGCGGCAGTTCCTTCTAGGAGATTAACGGTGTGGCGTCTTGCGATCGCACTTAAGGACACTAGATCAAACTTACAGCGCAAACCCTATCGCCTGCATTCAGTACAGCAAAAAGACCAAACCAGTGACAGTCGTCCTGCCTTAAGCATGCCAAAATACAGACCCATGCAAACGGTCAATGGCAAGACTTACGCGTAAATATGTCGGCAGAATGTCATACCTGGGGGCCTTGGTACTTACAATTGCTATATTAATATCTAGTCAGAAAACAGTCGCACTGGATTTAAAATATGCTTCTAACATAAAAGATAATTTTAGAGAAATAGCGGTGGGACTCAGAGGGCATGGATGTTCGGGCCGTACTACTTAGGAATAAATACAGAGCTCAGCTTGATTACTTGAAAAATGAACAAATGGGAATCTGAAAGTAGACAGAATACTTGAGGCAAGGTCTAAGGATAAAGAAATGATAAAAAGTATATGCGGCGACGGATCATACAAAGCTAGGAAAAGAGGAAAGTGGAAAATCTTACTTATAACTATGGTGCAGGTAGGTCGGAGTACAGGCATTTTCGCAGCAATGTGGGCACCGAGGATTAGTTTTAAACACGTGTAATTTATGACCTTGAAAAAATTATGCCCCAACCTTAAATTAATGGAGGAACTTAATATGCTGATAATCGAACAAAACAATGATTCATTAGAGGGGTTAAGACGGATTTTCTGTGCTCATAAAATGTGCCCTTCAGAGTCATTTAAGGTCATTCAGGCCTCACATTAATTCATAGGCCTAACGACCCATTTCGAAGCAACCAATAAACTAAGCTCTAAAGGCATCGAACAGCATGAAGTCCTATCCACGTGGTGTAGCTCGGGCCCCATAGGTTAATTAATCCCCACTTATTGGCGAGAGAATATCCACTACTACGACCTGAGGCGGTAGGCAACAGTTGGTAGAATTGCCTGACACTCAAAAATTCTGGAAGAGCAGGGTAAAAAATAGTTTCCGGCATTTTTAGTTCCGTTAGGAAGACGGAATCCAGGAAGTCGAGGAAGGAGAGATTGCGGTGGATGCAGCCGAAGTCTACTGACACGGCAAACTAATTTCCGCGCCCACTCTCCTGTAGGATGCTCGGTGGGCATCGTCGAAAACGACGATTGAACTGCCGTCGCGAACACTCAGCGTCTGTTGAAAATTTAAGTCCACGTGCTCCCCTCATTGGGAAGAGCACTAAAACTCCAAAGGAGATGATGCAATCTTCCAGTGGAGTCATTCATGCATGGAGGGCGGTAAAAAAATCACAGATACCCCTTCATACCTCGTCGTCAAACATAAGGAGCGTGAATCTGCAAGGCGGAATTATATATAGGCTCGTCTATTTTTGAAAAAGGGAATTTTATCTGCAGTAGACAAGCACCAGTCCAACTCCTAGCCCCAACCCCTAACCGTAACCCTCTCTGCTACCCCCTAACCCCAACCCCTATCCTTAACCTCTAACCTGTAACCTGAATCTCTAACCCTAACCCCTAACAGGTACAGCTACGAAATAAGATCTTGCCTTTATTTCTGCGTGCAAGGATTATTAAAATGCCCCCCTTCGTCTTTAATAATAATACATATTCTACAGCTGCCTTAATATTAGTCCTCAAATTTTAACTTTTTCTGAGATTTGGCACAACTGAATCGGAGCCAAGACATAGTCTTCTCTTGATTAGCTTCTCCGACTAAACTGCCCTTTCAGAAGGTCTTCATTTTGTTTTGACAAAATAACTTTCTTTCATTGCACGTACGGTTTCAGATGAAATGCCGGGTTTTTTTGAATTTAATCGTAGTCGAGAATTCCGAAAGCATTCCTAGACTAGAGCAATTTTTTCGTTGTATTTTTCAGTAATCGCCTCGGTCTTTTCATAGTTCCCCGAAAAGGCAGAACACTTACGTTTTGGAGGCTGTTCAGAAAACCCTGGAACCCCTTATTTCGCTACCTAAAGTCTTCGCTAATCGTTCACTGTAGAGACGGCGCACGCCAGCGAGAATAGCAAAACGCATAAAATGCAGAAAACGCGCAGCTTTTATAATATCCTTTTACAATTTCCAACCAAACAGTCAGAACGCACTAGATGCACGATTAATGACGTGTTACGCAAGGGCGGACATGAATAAATGGTAATGGGAGGCGATCCAAACTGATCAGTATTTGTAGCCGTTAGAGCTCACTGCCCACAATAGTAGGACTAGCAACGCCGACACCCTCATTCAAACGCAGATGACACACACTCAGGGTTCAAGTGACGTGATCATGATCGGCGGAGTACTCCAGCTTCAGCACGGTGTGGAGGCGTTGGCTGAACCTTTGAACCAATCGTGTCAAATGTGCCGCCTCAGACGATGGAATATCCCAGCAGAGCATGCACCTTAAATAAGCTCTGAATTAGCTTTCGCTTTCACACAAAATCTAACCTTCCTCGGCTGCTTCTTAGCTTGGATCTCTCTACGTTACATTTTCGTGAGTCCTTGTTTAGTACTGCTTCCTTTTGTCAGTCGTGTTTGCTGTACTCAGAGCTCCTTTCCTGTCTTCCGTAGACGGCAGTGTGATTGCACAACAGCATCCACTTCAATTTCGCTTCTAAACAGTGCCACGGCATATGAGATTTGAAAGCTGTCTTTTGGAATAGGGATAGCAAGTACTATAACCCTTTATTTTCAAAACTCCTCTCTTGGCAGATCTTGCCGTTATATTTGGTCAAGAGCTTCTAAGCGCTAGCAGACTCTTGGAATAGCTAGAAAGTTTACTTGATATTCTCTTAAACGACTTACCAACCACCGTGAAACGGACTCCAGCGTTGACTGGTACTGCCAACACTCCGGGAAATGTGAGCATCGTGTACACTGTAAATCTCCGTGGGGAAAAATTGAGTCATGTGTCTAACTAGGTCACCTCACGAATGAGTCAATTTCTGTAAAAAAACCACTTTTACGAAGAGGACTTTAAATGGCCTTATAGCTGATTCCACATCGACGTAGTTGCCTACTGATTCATTCTACATTTAGGTCAGAAATATGTCCGGACTGTGCGAAGTAAGTTTTTTTTTTGCAAAGGCTTTTTTCGCCGTCCCACCCGGCTTCATGAAAAGACAGCGCTTTCTGCTCTAGCTGCGCTAGCGTTTGCTCTGCCCTAACTAAAAGCAGATTTCTAAATCAGACAGTAAAACTGGCCAACTTTTTTTTCTCTATCCGCACCTGCAGATCAACATGACCTTTGACGAGTGCCTTAATGACGCCAAGGCCCGTCTCGTCATGGTCGCCTTCCTGAAGTTCGACGATGAGGACAATGAAAAGGTCATGAAAATTTTGGAGGACTTGAGCAAGGAAAACAAACGCCTTGTCATCCTTGCCGTGGACGCAACCAGAAACATGGTAAGACCAAAATTAATTGGGTTCATTAAAACAAAAATGATTTAGGGTCTTGCCAGGCAATTCAATGTGACAGCCTGCCCCACCTTCCTCTTCTTCCGTAATCGAGTTCTGGTAAGTGGCATGATTTTATATCGTTTTAACGAGCATTGCATACTACTGTGAAGTGTGTTTTGGGCGTATGAGGTAACCCATGCTTCTGAAATGCAATTCGTCCCTTCTGGAGCAGACGTGTCCTTGATGAGACCAAATATCGTCAAAAAACAAAGGGACTTGAATAAGATCCCGAGGCGAAGTTATGCGCTAACAGGAAACGACTATTTAACACACAGCAGTAACCAGCATTCCTGACCAAGATCAGTCGTACTGATCAGAGTGTCTTTTAAACCAAAGCATAAAATTCCACGTGTAGCATTGCAGAAAGCAGAATCTGTTGAGACTTTGAAAGAAATCGAACTTATGCCTCTCTGTTTCGGTATTTTAGATGGGATCCCGAGTGACAACTAGAGAAACCAAACTGAGGAAGGACGTTGAGAAGTACAGCAAGGTCTTTGTAGCCGTCCCTCAGCAATGTGATAAGTAGATTGTACACCATGCCCTGTCCTTGTGAAATAAAATGCACGCCCAACTGCTGATTATACACTTGTACATCATCATGATTGCACATTTGATTCTTTGTGTCACGACATCCGTTCTTTTACCCCCTGCTCCTCCTCCTATATAGACAAACGTAATACAGATCGTCTTTTACGCCTTTTCTTCGTTTAGACGTGGTCAAAAATGGCAGCAGCTTAAGTTCTGAGGCGCGGACGAGAGACGGTTGGAACAGGGGCGAGCAAAACCAACAAATGTTTTGCCGGGATCTCTGGGGAACGAGGCCATAGGAAGCATTACCGTGAGCTAGGAAGTAGGCTGCTAAATATACAGGCAGGGCCACATTGTTGATCTAAGGTAGCTGAATACGTAATGTATGGTCATATAAGACGTTTTGGTAGATGGAAGCTCACCGGCCGGACTCATTCGCCCCATAGAGCTTTTGTGAATTAATCTGGAGCCCCCGCCGGCCACTAGTGTTCTATCCGGGAATAAATTGCCAACAAAGACTAGGGAGACTGAAGTGGCCATTTCTGGCTTATTGGTCGTCGTCGTCGTCAGCCAGACGTTTTCAACTCCGAGGTGTGCATTCCCCCCCCCCCCGGAGGCTTGATCCCGCGGCCTGCTAGTTGGAAGTCCAACTCCTCTAGCCACCGAGCCGCGGGTTGATCGCCGTGTCGGTTACGATTGGAAATATGAACGCTGGTAAATGGACGTTCACCGATCGGTTACGGGACTCACTCACCTCGTTGTGTGTGTGTACTCTGCAGTGCATTTTGTTACAATGACGTTAAGTGAGTAGGAATGTAGACTTTCGTGTTCAGTCTGTGTACACCTTGACGTTTGCAGCGAGACAACAAAACTCTGCCTTACGTGAGGTCATCATACTTCAAAAATCACACTACCACTTGAACCAAATTAGCCTTTATTTTAAGGTAGCTTGGGCGCATATGCAAAAGAACTCGAGGGGCTGATACGTAGACTCCCACTTTGGATGTGTTGAAAGTTTCAGTAAAAATACCCAAAATGGCACTAATCCCGAACATTGCTGCAAACACAGTCACAACAGTTTACGATAAGACAGGGAATTCGAACTTCTCGTGGTAGAAGGGGTGATCTTGGTTTAAATTCCTGAATTAACCCTAACCCCGACTATAGCCTGAACTCAAAACCTAACTAAAATCTCCCTGGGATCCATCCCATGATTACACGTATTCCAGGGAGTTCGCATTTTCGTGCTCTATCATGGAACCCTATGCAAGAATAAGAATGGGAGGCAAAATCATCCAGGAAATGTCAGACTGTTTTGTTAATATCTTGCCCAGGTCACATTTTTTACTGATGTTTAGCTAGTTTATATCTTACCTGCAAACACGTACACAGAAACGCTTAGTAGAACTAAATTTCACTGTAAATTATAATAGCGACCGTTCGACCGCCCAGACCGACGATATCGACCATGTGTTCCACAGCTCAATGGACGTAGGAACGACGACTTGTTCGTCAGTTCTATTACAGTGATAGTAGACTAGCATAGCACATAGCGCACTCTTTCCTTCTCCTCACCTGGTCCCGGTGTCATGTCGGGGCCCAGATGACCGGAGGTAGATGAAAACCCAGGTGGCTGGCATAGCGAAACCATCGCATCACCTGGTCCACAAATTACACTGGCCAGGGTTTTATGCAACCAGAAAAAAGGGGCAGCTCAGATACCAACTGGCGTGGCGTGGAGCTGGGTCCTGGTGTGCCACAACGCCCCCAATGTTGGAATTTGTTATGGGAGCGTATTCCCAAGGACGTTTGCCTGATCCCGATCTAGCCTTTGTATTCGTCAGGCGCATCTGCCAGGCATTGAACGCGCGTGGTTAACTTGCGATAAGTCGTAAAAACTCTGGAATTCCTGGTCCATGAGAGAAATTGACAACCTCACCTAGAGCTCCCCTGTTTCAACCGCTTCGCTCGAGGTTCTGCTCGGGGGATCGCAGAGCAAATCCTGACAATAGTTCGGAGTTCGAAATGGATTCAGGTTCCAACAAGTCCGTTTGTTTACCTTCGTCATCAGAAGGGAAACGTGTGCGAAGTCAGTCCGTTTTACCGAGACCGTCACGTGAGTCATCATTGGTCATGCGTTTATCCTACAGGCCCACATCTACGTAGGACGCGTGCTTGGTAGTCTCTCGAGCTGACAAAAACAACGCTAAAACGTCAGGAAGTACTCTGTTCTCGAGGTTATTTTACAATGCCCTCGAGCTGTTATGCGCGCGAAGGCGACAGTTACAGCCATTGCGTGAGAATCAGTCTGTGAGTATCACTCCTCCGTCTCTCTACAACCTTATACTCCCATTTTTCTAATTTGTCAGCCTTCCTTCCAATCTGGGCCGTACGATTAGCTAAATAGGCATCACATTCTACGTAATAAATGCCAAATGCCTGTCCAGCCCAGTTTAATCGATCTCTGGTCCACATGGTTGGACGATGCATCATGATTTCTAGTCAATGGCGGTGCCCACGTCCTGATCAGTTGAAATGCCCACCTCCTTACCTCCCACCCGTTATAGATGCAGGGTAGGGCGTGCATTAAAGTCGGCACAAGCATCATGACCTATGCTTCTGGGCTTAACAGCAGGCACTGTTTACGAGACTTTTAAGTTAGATGTTGCTTGTAAACCGGACGAGGCCTGGTCGTTTCCTCATACACCTTTATATGAGCATCGCGGTGGCCTTCGACTGTCGTACATGCGTGTGTGCGCGTCCCCCAAACGGGCCACGTGATGAGCTGGGTCAACACAGGGGGTCATATTGGATTCTGGCAGGCGTTTTCTGTTTTACGCACAATAAAATGCCAACATTTCGAGGTGCGGTGGCAGACCCCGTTGCCGGCGGACGTCGCGCATACTGGGATCCCTGCCGCTCCCACATTGTTGTTGTTGTTGGTCAAAAGCCTGGTCGTTTGCTGTGTGGACCAAGGGGTGTGGAATGGAACGTCAAGGCGCGGGCTTGACCGTGCCATCCACCTGCGCACCCTCCCGCCTCCTGTCTTCTTGACTCTGTCTTGACATCGGGTTCAGGTGGGGGGTGGGAGGAGAGAGGGTGCGGTAGATGTTGTGCAAGTCCACTATCACTTTAAATTACTTTTCCGCTCTCAGCACGCTGTGGAGCACATGGTGGACCTCGTCGGATGCGATGGTCGAACTATCATGTGTGTGTGTGTGTGACCGCTACTGCATTTACAAGATTTATTGGAGCACCAAATGAAAGACATGGTTGAGGCAGACTGGACGGCGAGGCGATATTCGAGCTTGGGAATTAGGATGTGCGAAGCAACGCTCTATTCATTAGGCTTAGATTTTGTAATACGACTCCGGTACCTCTCATATCTGGGGTGGTCGCGGAGGCTGTGTTGCAAAAACCCAGGCGTCCACACTTTGAACAGTAGGACTTCAATTTTGGCTCCTTTATGTAGGTAACACCTTGTACCTTATGTGGATGAAAAATGAAAAGCTCTCCAGGAAATATGACTTTGTCTTTCCGGACAGTTAAACGTGTTTCAAAAGAAAACGAAAAGCGGTCTTCCAGAAGCGTCTAGGGATAAGGAGACTCGATTGCTGGGAAAAGAATCTTACTCCCTCAGAATCTTTAAGTCATGCTTGAAGTCATTATCGGAGACAGAGAGGAAAGGCGATTGAGTTCTATTGCTCACAGTACGGCACTGTACGCCATGGCCTCCAGATCCTCACTCAGAATTTGGACTATACCTGAGCAGAGTAAATAGTCACATGTAGAACGCCGGTGATCATTGCTACCGGTAGCAGTATCAACGACTCAAATCGCCAAGGCCACCAATCGCCGACCACCAATCGCCTTGGGGGAGAGGGGTGAGGATCGAGCAATTATGCAGCATGTGTGAATATTGGCAGTAGATCTTGGCATGCTAATTTTATTAGGTGTATGGTGTTGTAACTACGGAATACTTTAAATACGGTCTGCCGTGATTGCGTTACGCTTTGCTGCCGCCATCTCTGATGCTGGTTTGAGTGAGAATCGGAAAAACCAGTCAATTAATATTGCCACAAGGGCGACTGTCAGTCGTACAGCCTACAGACATAAAGGCAAAAGGTTGCTGTGGTGTCCGTGTACCAGATATCCCAGATGGCTACATTACTTGTTGCACGGGTGCGCAAAAGGTTGCTTTGTGAACACTGAGAACAGTTTAGAAGCCAAATGAATATTGGTATTCTGCTGAGGACACCGTGACTTTGCATGTGACTAACAGTATTGGCTCCTCTGATATCGACAAAGAAGTCTGAACCGGGAGTGAGGCTGGATGGTCAGTAAATCTCTGTTATAGTGTTGATCCTCATTCTCTCCACCACCACCACCACCACCACCACCACCACCACCACCACCACCACCACCACCACCACCACCACCACCACCACCACCTTATTTGTCACTGTGTGAATCCGCACACTCTCTCTCTCTCTCCCATTTCCTCAGCATCGTCATATTCAATACAGTAATTAGGGTGGCTATTCCCAGGATAGTGCCAGCAACGACAAAAACATACTAGGCGTCACTGCCAAAAGGGTGAGCAGGCACTTACGCGCGTGGAAGACTGGCGTGGCAACCACGAAACTCCAGTAAAGTGACCGTGCTCGTTGGCTCACCAACTTGGTGCGGTTGCGTCATAGAATGCGCGAGCCAATGACACCGTAAGCACATCTGCAAGTTTAGGAAATCGGTTAAACAGCAGTGCTGTTTAAATTGGCTGGGAATTCACCCACGCTCTCAGTTGATCTACTTTTTCATCTCGGTCAGTCTGTGAGTCTCTCCAGTTTATGTAGTTACTAGTATTAATTTCTATCCTTCTACGGTCAATATTTACGATTTGGATGCGTTTTCTATGAATTTTCAACCATTTGGTCAGAAAGTAACTACGTTTCTATCAATATGTTTGTTAAGACGCCTGGCTTAATACAATAGTATCTAATTCATAATTGCTAAAATCCCAAGTACCATCTTTAAAACTCTGCTTTACCTATTTTTTTTTTATAAATTCATAAGAAACAATAATTAATCCTTGTGTACATTATCAATAACAATCTTCTGCGGTAGCTAAGTACCTACAGTTGGCTAAGGCTTTTATCCAAATTCTTGTAGATATTTAATCTTAATAGAGTTACAGTTTTCTTAGAAATAAGCTCACTATCACAATTTTCAAGTCTGTGATAATTGAAGAGTGAGATAAAAAATCCCATAAACCCATTGGTTTAACTAGAAATTCTTCCGCCAGTCCGTTTTCTCATGTCCTATTTTGCTAAACTGGTCTTCAAACTCAGACTCAATGTTACATGCACTCATGTGTTATCTGACGTTTTTATTTAGGCCATAAACATGCCCCAACTTTACGAGGTAAGCTCTCCCCACAGGGCCAAATCCCTCCGCCTCAAAATATTTCGATCCCTTCCCTTCTTACCCCTCATCTATGTTTTCCAGTAATATTAACTTGAGAAACATTAGGATCAGAAGGAGTGGCTTACACATCTTCCTTTATAGGTCGATATGTGTCTTGATGACTGCCTCATCAGTGCCAAGGCTCGTCTGGTTATGGTAGCCTTTGTGGACTTGAAAGATGAGGAAAACGCTGAGGTTATGAAGATGCTGGAGGAAGTTAGTCGTGAAAACAAACGACTTGTGATTCTTGTCGTGAACGCAACCAAGAACATGGTAAGATTGGAATTGGTGTGGTTCACTGAAAAAATTATTTTAGGGTCTTGCCCGACAGTTGAACGTGACTGCCTGCCCAACCTTCCTCTTCTTTCGAAACCGCCAGTTGGTGAGTGCCAGAATCTGAAATTGTGTGGACTATAAGTGGATGCAGCTATTTGAGTAGTTTCAAACAATCAAGACAAGTCACCGAGATGGAGGCTGATAATAGGGCTCTGTGATACACATAAATTAGTGTGATATCTTGGTTCCACGCTCGAATCCAACACGAAAGACGGAATCAAGTAGGGGCAGTGTACTGTAGACCTGTGCAAAATATAACCCATTATCGGAATCTGTCTTTGATGATGGATTCGTAACGTTCGACGAATACAACCCCTGTTCCAACGATTGTGTCCACTTCCACTACCGCCTGGAACTCGTTTCTTCATTTCTGTCGGCAAAATATAAACGTTGGTATGTTTGGGTGTAGCTGTACGATTCTTTACAAGCGTGATCCGGGCTGAACGCCTCAGCACTACCTGAACAGGCAGCTAGTGTGCACTGGTTTGTGCGTCGTTTGTCTGGAATACAGACAACATGCAGATGCCTTCAGGTTGAAACCTGCCATTATACCCTTACGGTTATACATGCATACACATTCCGTAACACACAAGGAGACTCAGTAATTACGTTGTTTTCTCGTTTCAGTTGGGATCTCGGGTGACGACAAAGGAGGCTAAACTGAAGAAGGACGTCGCGAAGTACAACCAGATCTTTTTGTCCAGCCCGCACCATTATAATGAATAAAGTGCTCTATACGCCATCCTTTTGAGCCATCAAACATGTCTGACTTAGAACAGACACACACACACATTCTTCCTGATTTGCAATCATGATCGTGCTTGGTGAAGTTTGTCTCCCTGTATAGATAAATATACAACACAGACATCCTTTTCAACCTTTTACTCCTACTTCAATTTTGGTTATGCTTAGGCAGATGAGGTACTGACAGTGGCTCAAATGCAGTGAAGTCAGTAATCTGATTCAGGATTTTATTGAGAAGGATTTTAGACGAAGAAACCGTGGGAAATTAGATGGCAGAGAGACACCAGCATATCAAGAATTGGATTCTTCATTCAGAAGGACATCACCGCATGCGACATTAGTGGACTGGCACGACTCAAAGGCATGCTGAAAACGTATACTATTTGATGAGACCTTGCTGACTCAGAAGGTAGTGAAAACTGTAGAGCTTAGAAATCAAATATAGTTCTGCTTCGAACTATGATTTGGAATAGAAGAGTGGAACTCTAGAGTTTTCTGGGGGTTAACAAATCAAAATCATGAAAACTAGTACAGAAAAAAGTGTAATTAGATACTGGCGCATGTGTGTTTATCATAGTAGACAAATGGTATTTTCAATATTCATCTGAAAGTAGGCACTTAAAGATTGCATTTTCTGCGGTAATAATTGGGCCATTGATTTTGAGCTAACGTGTTTTAATTGACCAAATGTCGCTTGTTCAGGTCAAGTAGGTTTACTGAAACTAACTTTCATTTTCTGCCGATGTCGAAGCGTAAGGACACAAATTTTCGAAGGGCTGAACCTTTTTCAGTTCAAAAGTCTAAAAGCCCTCATCAGGTTTCCCCTGTTAGCGCATAGTGCAGACACATTTGTCGTGCCATTCAATCCAAATGAGGAAAAGTCTCAAAGTCGTGTCCCAGATAACAAGGTTGAATTCTGAGTCCAGAGGTTGGTATAAACTGCTAATATGTAAATACTACCTACTCAATCAAATAAAAACGAATCATTTAAATCTTATTTGGCTTATAAAGGCCATGAAGTAATCCATCTGAATGACAAGATAATAAACGCATACCTGTTTTCTTCAAATATTCAAGGCGAAGCAATTGTTCTCCCTTTATATTCATGGCATAAAACCTCAAGCCACCTATTCGTCATTATTGCCGACGTGAAAACGGTTGTGGGTAAATTATCTTACCATCTGCAAGCTTAGGCGTAGTCGTTGTCTTCAAGATTATGGCCTGTGATACACACCATTTGATGTTGCTTTATGAGTACAGTGGACCAGCTCCGCAATAAAATGTTAACCAAAATTCCGAAATGAATTTTCGATCCGGAAAGATCACCCAAGAATTATAACCACCAGATATTGCAGTCTCATCAGAATGCCGGCTTTTGGATACGTTTCTTTGCGGCCGACTGCAAAAACTACGAGCTATACAAATGACTAGTTATTCAGTATGACTTGGAAAAATTAATTTCCAACGCCTCTAAAAGTTTTATTTTATTTACAGAGAAAGCATGCACAGAAATATTCTTCACTCTGCTCATTCTGTAAAACACTTCGTCTTCTTCAAATTTTATGCTCAAAAGTGTATCATTTGGTATTAACAAATGGGCATTTACTTAAAGATTTGTGACTGTAAAATGCCCATTCACAAAGCATTACATCTGCACATTTAATAATGCTGCTTATAAAATATACAGCCCAGTTCTCGTTCAGCGCAAAATGTAATGAGTGCTATATGACGTCTTTCTTAGCAGCATGGAGAAATTTGTGGCCTTCCTTCGAAAGTCTGACTACAGCATCTAGTTTGAAAACCCTAAATGTAAATATAACGACAGGTGAGCCAAAACATACTCAGAATGAAAAACATTTTAAAAACCAAAACTGCTGTCTCATAAGGCAAAAAAGTCAATTATCATGTAATGTGCTATCAAATGAATGCAAGGGAAAAGATTTTTTCATAGTTTTCATATAATATATTGGAACTTTAAGAAATCACAAATTAATGGGAAAGACTCCCACTAAGTGTGTAGTCATTTTTACGGAGTGTGGTTTTGTCAGACCGCCTAAAAAAAACTTATTCAAAAGCCGGCATCTTGGCACGACGGGGACATATTAAGATTATACTGCACGACAATTGAGCTTAAATTCACGATCGTGACTTGTACAGTACGTGATATATCTTATTAAACCTGATGACAGAAACTGATTTTAGAATTGTCGGACTCCTTAGATGTTGCGCACTTTGCTCGCTCGTCCAGTCTTTTCAAGGAAATGTCCTTTTTTCTGTGCAGGGCATGTTTCCACGTAATTCTATGAAGCAAAATGTCCATAAATTTGAGTGAAAACGCACGCCATGACATTTTTGGGCAATCGCCTATGCAAGTGTTTGTTTCAGACTTTGGTTGCGCATCTGAGCGTGTTTGTGCTTGATAATGCACTAATTAACTCGCAAGAATTATTAAATGAATGCTGCCGCAGTTGAAAATTAACTTATTGTCCGATGCTAACCTTTGGAATCAGCTTGCTAGCGCACAGTTTATTTTAGGAGAACCAAACGGTTTATCGATTTTTAGAAGTAAAAATAGCAGGTCCGTGCGATTTTGTGCCCTACCGTGTAGTGATAAGGCATACAGTGAGTCCCTAATTTAAATGGGCTGAAGTGTTTTTGCCGTTGAAAATTTTTATTTGTTGCTACAGAAATGACTGCCAAAGAATAGTCATTTTCAGTTTTAAAAATATGGAACATTACTTCTCGAGCGGCCTAGCTTTTGCACATACGCAACTTTCAAATGGAAGGACCAAAATATTGATAGCTTCAGTAAAAAATCAGTATTTACATGGTCACTCCCCATTGTATTCCTTATCGTAGAAAAGGGCCTAAAAGTGAGCAAAGACAGCGAAAATGGTAGCAAAATAAAGAGAAAAGCACGTTTTTACTGTTGCGTTTTAAATATCAGTGCTTTTTAGCAACGTTGATGAAACGGCCAGATAAAGTTTTCTAGTTGAACGAAATCCTATTCGATGCCAAATTTGTTGTGGACGACCATTTATTTCGAAAATGAGTTTTCGTGTTTGGGCTTTAAAAGTGACTTTTATGACCCTCTACGCTAAAACGAACGTTTAAATACCCACTTTTGCAGTAAAGGTCTTCATGAATCATTTTATTTTAAAGGTATTAACAGGTATATAATATAGAATATATATATAGAATATATATATACATAGAATATATATAATATAAAATCGATGGAAAACACTGAAAATCGCGAAGCATAAAGCAATGTTTAAAGGCCGATCTGAAGCCGGACGTCATCTGGAACAAACGATGAATGCTAATTAGTGTCACACAGAAAACATTCTCGTTATATACACGAAATTGTATTCATAGGTGAACGAAATGTTGCGTTTATGACTACACATGTCAATTCTATTTAAATTTATAAGTTACTGACCAGTCTGGCGGCATATGTCCTTATGGTAACTTTTGTTTCTTTAACGTCACAATTGGCATAATCGAACAAAACCCTGTTTGCCCTATTGAACCGCATCTTAGTCACTTAAAAGTGGACAGAATACCACAAATTCTCAAGAAACCGTTTTGGAAACTATATTCGGATTGTAGGCTGTTGAAAAGCCGCTTTATTTTGAACTACGCTAATTCTTAAACTATATCTAAACGTAGACTTTACTTAAAGATAATTATACAAGGTCATACTAAATGTGCTGTCACGTTTTCCCTAGCATCTTGCATAGGAAGACTTTCTGTACATATAAAACTGAATTTTACAAAATTACAACCATTTGTCAAGTTTTCGGAATTTCCCTCATTTCTGAAAAATTGGTATTAATGAACAAGACAACCTTATCTTTAATATTTCTTTCATGTTTTTGATCCTGTTAAATTTGTTATTTATAAATATAGGTATTGAGTCCATGCAGTGGTGTCGGTTTGCGAGTGACTAGCAATCATTTGCCAATTTCGACAACTTTCACGGATTAGGTTGCGTGCAGTAATGCGTTCATAGTTTACAATTTGCAATTTACTGTTCACTAATGGGACGAGGAAAACGTTAGAAACTTCAACAAAATATCAGCATCTTCATGACCGCTCTGCAATGACAGATTGTAGCCTAAAACGGGCAAAGATAGCGAAAATGGGCGAATTAAGTTCACATTGGAAACGGAAGCCGACAACAAACTCCCATTCGTAAATGTTCTCATACAGTTAGAGACGGATGAAATATTACACGCATCCATTTACCGCAAATAAGCTTATGCAGATATCATTCTACATTATGACAGCAACAACCCAATCTCTCACAAACGGAGCACTACGAACAGCTTGCTTCACCGAGCAAAACACTGTTCAGATGAAGAAAGCTACAGAAGAGAACTCAATTATCTCTCTGAATTATTTACCTGGAATGGTTGCCGCAGAGATTTTGTGTCGCTACATGAGCAAAAAAGAGAGTTAAAAGAAAAGTAGCTGGATAGTTCCAAGCAGCCGCCCAAAGGAACTACGTGATGGACCCTCCCTTACATTTAAAGTGCGTCTGAACTCGATATACAACTGAGAAATCACCTAGAACCAGTGGCAGGCTAACCAGTGACTAACTTATGCAGTCATCGTGTACATCTTTAAGGCTAGGATTGACTATCTGTAGAAGAAGGAGTCATCTACAAGATCTCATGCGAGACAGGGGATCCTGTACTTTGTGGCCAAATTGGAAAGTCTGCCTCCACAGGCATCACCAAACAGCAGTTAACTGTAAAGAGGCAAGACCACCTATCTCAGATGGCTATGCTGATATTGGGTACTGGGTACACTTTTGCACGGAAGAAGACTCACATCGTCGGCGTCGGCGCCACAAAACATGGCCAGGAATTGCTTGAAGTCAAGCACTCAGAGCAGTCATGCATTAATAGGCATATTGAGTTAGACGCCGTTTACAAAAGTTCCAAGGAAAATCTGAAGAAACGGCGACCGAACGA